CAGCTGCATAATGGAAGTGAAAATCCTTTCTTACCTACAAGATTATCTTGAGAGGTAAATGAACTGGTTTAAGTGAAGAAGAGAGTACCCCATCATTATAATAACAATCTTATAACATGTGATTATGAGCTGAATGATAATTAAATAAATCCTCTGGTTATAAATTAATACAGTTGTGTCAGTTCACACAATGAACATTATAGTCAGACTGAGACATAAGATTCTATGCTGGAATGACAGATCAATTAAATTATTTAGCAATGTTCCTTTTGGTATGCTTTAAAATCATTTTGGGTACTAAGTTATCCCAAACAAGCAACAAGCACAGAAACTAGATGTGGTGGAACACCAGAAATTCTATCACAGGAGAGGTACATCTGAGTGGATTAAAGGTCTAGACAACTTTCAGCTGTAGAACAAATTAGAGGCTACCTCACACTCCCCTGTCTTAAAACAAACCAACCAACAAATAAATAAATAAAATGTGATAGAACCACCACAGTGATCTGAGGCATAATTAGTAAATGCCCCCTGTAGGTGTCAACAGATATAAATGTCTTGAAGTCCAACTATGTAGCACAAAACAAAGCACACCAAAAACCCTCAAAGCAAAGAGAACAACTTCAAAATGTAATGTATATTATTCAGTGCAATTTATAAAACAGCAATGTCTAAGCCCTAAGTATTGCACACCAAAAATTACATGCCATTTAATTTAAATTTTTATTTTTTAGTCAGTTTTAGCTGAAACTAAAAGCAGCAAATTGGGTTACTCATAATTAGGTAATTGAAGTGAAAAAATACTAGGTTGCCTAATAACACTACTAATTAAATGTGTATAAATTAAAAACTTTATTGGTATACTTCTAGGTTTACTCAATGATTAGGGGGGACTACAACTCAATATCTGGTACAGGAAAAGTAGATTGATCTGCAAAACAGAGCATCTGTTTTTGACTGGGGAAAGAATTAAAGGTTGTTTTATGAGCATCCACAGCACTGTGGAGTCTTAAATGTCTTTGTCTTTTTTTTTTTTTTTAACCACAGAGGAATATTTTATCAGGCAGAAGAGAATGAGAAAGAAATTTTCATATTTTTTAAAGGGTACCTGAAAGTACTAAGAAAACAATTAAATACCTGTCTAAATGAGTTTCTCCACAAAGGATTACAAAGGAATGTGTAGAATAAAAGAATACTTGAAAAAATGTGATTATACCAACAACTCAAAGATACAAAAGGGAAATTCTAAGTTCCAGAGGAGTTCAATAGAATAGAACAGCCCTCCAGGAACAACTGGGGTAGATTGGTACTGTCCAAAGTCAGGGACAAGAGCTGTGCACAAATGTTGTGTTTAAGCAGCAGAATTCAGAAAGTTGAAGGTCAGTGTTAACATGAGTGACACTAATGAGGCAAAGACACCAATCTCAATTTTCCTCCCAGAGCATGCTCTATTTTTATCACAGAATTTAATGTTTCTGATATTTAGGAATAGGCAAAAGCTGGAAAGTATCTATTTGAATACCAAAGTGAAAAATGAGAAGCCAAGAGACAGTGTATGCTACCAATATCTGTGGCTTGGGGTTAGTTTTGCCTTCTGTTTTAAGCTAGGGAGACAAACAAATGAACAAGGTCAATTAAGTACTATTTGTATAATTTAAATAATGACTTGGTCCTGTTAAAGGAAACCATGGGTGTGAAAGAGAAAGACAGACTTCACCATATGCATAAGCAGAACAACTAGAGGTATTAAGTAGTTTGAACCGTGACTACTAGTGATTTCTCAAACAATTGGGAAGAAGTATTAAGCCCTTACCAACTAGTTCTGAATCTATTATCTGGACTTGCTTTGTGGGGTTCAGTCTGTGATTCTGAGAGCCACATTTCTTCTTGGACTCTTCTACATGCCCATTGGAAAATGGAAGGAGAAAGGACAGAGAAGGACTGATATCCTCCCACCTGGTTTTGGCTCTTGACAGAATATTATGCAAAGCAAATATGTACTTATCCCATTAACATCTGGCTCCAGGACTGAATGAGCAAAGCGGTCAAGACCAGGCTGGAGAAACCCACAGAAACAGCTGACCTGAACAAGGATGAGCACATGAACCACAGACTGGTTATTTGGACACCAGCATTGAACCAATCCAGACCCCCTGAATGTGGGTGATAGTGAGCAGGCTTTGGCAATTTATTGGGCCTGTCGTAGTGGATCTGATAATGGGTCTGTGGTATTTACCCCTAATACACATGGACTTTGGGAGCTCATTCCACATAGAGGGATACTCTCTCAGTCTATACATATGGGGGAGGGCCTAGGCCTTGCTCCAAATGATATGACAGACTTTAAGATCCCCCATGGAAGACCTCACCCTCCATGGGGAGCAGAAAGGTGATTGGATAGGGGGTCTGTGAGGGCAGGGGAGGGGGAGAGGGAGAGGGAACTGGGATTGACATGTAAAACAAGTTTGATTCTAATTTAAATTACAAAAGAAGAAAAAGAGGTGGCTTGTGACAGCATTTTCACCATTCACTGCTGAAGTTCCAAAGCAAGTAGACAACAGTCAATCTCCAGTATCCGGTATCTTAACATATTTAAACATGCTTGTATATACAATATTTTTGAAACAGAAACATTTTTTAGTTAAAGTCACCCATCATTATAGGTTTCCCTAGTTTATGCACAAAATTTTATACATTTTATTTATACTAAAATATAAAAATTTGGGGGAAGGAGTTAGCTTCCTCTATCCATTAACTCAGTTTTACAGCAGCATTGTCCATATCACCTTTTTCAGTCTGTGAAATTAACTAGTAGAAATACATCAACAAAAGTTGGTCAAAATAATGTCCCCACTAGAACTAAAGCAAGCTGGGCGAGATTATATAAAAAAGAGCTTTTTCAAATAATCAGAAATTTGAGTATATAATGGAGAATTTTTGGGCAAACTAACAAGGAAATCAAAAGCATTCATAATAAAACTTGTCCATCATCAGCCTTATGTTGTCTTCTTCACAGTTAATTATTATTTATGAGTACAAACTTAAGAAATTTAGATAAGCCAGGAAATATTTGATCATAATACAGAGGATGGATATTTTGATGTGTCTCAAACACAATTATCTGCCATAAAATGTTGATGACTTGTGAAATTATAATACTATACTCAAGCTGGGTGATGGTGGCACACACCTTTAATCCCAGTACTTAGGAGGCAGAAGAAGGCAGATCTCTGAGTTTAGGACCAGTCTGGTCTAGAGAGCTAGTTCTGGGATAGGCCACATAGAGAAGCCCTGTCTCATAAACAAACAAACAAACTATACTTAGGAACTTAGTGACTGTGAATCTCATGGATTGATACTCTATGATAAGAAAGAACTATCATAGAGTTTAGAATTTTTTGTGAGATGGGTATTAAATCTCTTTTGTTGGGGACTCACTATCTCACACAATAACCAGTCTCTGTATTAATATACTATCCTGTAAAAAACTGAAAGTAAAGTCTGCTAAAAGCAAACAACATACTGCAGAGATTTTAAAGTTTGATGAGTGAGATATCTCAAGTAAATATCTTACAGGCAGGAGAAACTACAATTTAAACCCAATTCATCTGCGGTCAGAAGCAGTATTTCCACCTACTTGTCACCCCAAATGTGAAGGAGGAACAGGAGAAGCGCCTGGGAGAAGGAAGTATGTATGTATGAGTGAAGATAGAAAATAAATAATTTACAGGAGAACAAATACGATATTTATGAAATAGGAAGATATGATTCATTTTCAGAAAGTAATGTAATAAAAATTAACTAAAAGCTCTTTTCTTTCAAAGATCAATAAGGTTGTCATTGATAAACCTTAGCCAGCCAATAACAGGGGAAAAGGGAGACAGAGACGTTAAAAGAGATCCCACAGCATTGTATTGTTATATACAGGAATTCTATGGCTTGAATGCTTGTCCTGTCCAAAGGTTACACTGTAGCTTAGTTGCCATCCTAGCAGTATTAAGAGACTGGGTCATGAGTTCAGAGGAGATGAGGGTGGGAGAGTTTGTGATTCCCCTCTCTGAATGCAGTTGGAGAGTGGGCCCTGCAACTCACCCAGGCAGCACAACAGAGCTGATCCTGTTGATTGGGTGTAAGTGAACTGGCCTGAGTTTGTAAGAGGAGACCTTCCCACCTGACATGTGCCCACCTACAGCAATCAGGGGGTGGGCCCTGAAACTTGTTTGGGCAAAACAGTAGAGCTGGCCATTTTGGGGTGAGTGTGGGTGAGCTAGACATGAGGGTTTGAGAGCAGGAGAACTGTGCTGCTTCTTCTTTCCTTCCTGATGCATTGGGTGATCTAGCTTGGTCAGTACTGAAGAACTCCCCCAAGTGGTGCTGATGAGGGAAATCTTATGAGCCAACCAACCCAGCTACCACCCAGGCCCAGAAAAAGGGCTATGAGTTGGCACACCCAACATCCACCTCATCTATGAACTGCAGGAGCATGTGAAGGAGCCCAACCTACAGATCCAAAACAACAAGATCTTCATGTCATGGAACAATGGGATATCCAAGTGGAGTCCCAGGGAGGGCACATTATTGATGGTGTAGCAAAAACTAGAGGCCAAGAACCACATCAATGACTCATAGTGATGAGTATTTTCAAGGAAAGATGCATGAACTACAATATACACTGTGTGACTCACTGGGTCACACTACAGGTTCCACAAAGAGACCTTTTTATTTGTTTGTTTGTTTGGTTGGTTTTTGATTGTTCTTTTATTTATTTTTTCTTTTTTTTGCTTTGACAGGGAGGTTGTAATGGCAGAGGACAGATGGCCAAAGAAGTAGGATCAGGCTGCATAATGTTAAATCCACAAAGAATCAATAAAACTGGAAGCAGCCTAGATGCCCCTCAACTGAAGAATGGATACAGAAAATGTGATACATGTACACAATGGAGTACTACTCAGCAGGAAAAAAAAAAAAAAAACAACAACAAAAAACCAATGGAATCTTAAAATTTCCAGGAAAATTGATGGAACTCGAAGCAACCATTCTGAGCGAGGTAACCCAATCACAAAAAGACAAACATGATATGTACTCACTCACATGTAGACCTGCTTTATGATACATAGTAGTGAACATGCTTTATCAGAGCTATTTTTAATGATGTTGCTCAGAATGGTTTCCTCCCAGATGATGATTGAGAAGCTAATGTTTTTTTTAAAAAAAATGGTGCCAGGTACCACAAGAGTAACAGAACTGTGCTGTTTTTCTGGGATTTTGTTTTTTACTATTTTTTTTAAATGGAGAGTGCTGGATATCTTTACAATTTTGTTCAAATGACTGCAGAACCTGGAAAAGCTGTTGCTGCTATTGATGCATAACATACTGCCATTATTGGTCTCTCTCTCTCTCTCTCTCTCTCTTTTTTTTTCTTTTTGTACAGGGGTAACTCACTGTATTAAATATGTAAGGTCTTAAACAAAAGAAGGGATTTTGAGAGTCCATCTCATGTGAAGGGATGCTCTCTTGACCTAGACACATGGGGAAGGGCCTAGGCCTGGCCCAGGATGATGTGGCAGACTGTGGGGAGCCCCTTTTGAGGGCCTTACCCTGCCTGGGGAGTGGAGGGGGGGTGGCTAGGGACAGGAGGGATGTTGGGGGGAGGGGAGGGAGAGGGGGAAGGGATTGACATTTGAAGCAAGCTTGTTCCTAATTTAAACTAATAAAAAAAAGAATCAATAAAAAGTAAAGAAGGCAAAAAGAGGGAAATGGGGCTATTATGGGATGTTTCTGTTTCCCAGCAATTGTGAATAGTGCAGGAACAAACACAGATGTGTAGTCAAATGTTTTTTTCATAGTGAGGCATGGAGTCTTTGGGCACATGTCCTACAGTGGTAGAGCTGAGTCTTCTGTTGAATCTACTTTCCGATTTCTGAGGAGCATCCTCACTGATTTGTGACTATTCCATTTGGACTCCCACCAGTAATGGCAAAAGGGATCCTTTCCTTTAATCCTCACTATCCTCTGCTGTTATTTTACTTTTAAACCTTAGCCATTCAGACATGTGTAAGATGAAACCTAGAATTAGTTGTACGAAATATTGTTATGGGAAAAAGTCAAATGAGTATGCCTTCTCCATAATGAAGACAAACTATTGAGTTGACAGCACTCTGGAGGCTGGTGAAGAACTGTCTCTTTGGTGCCTGACTTAGTGAGCTCCCAACACATAGGCTGCATAAGAAGCTCCTGTGACCAAAGCAAATAACTGAACAGACAAATGTATAGTAAATCAAATTTCACCAAATAAAACAATGGAATAGTATAGAAACTAATGAGTAGCCTAGACTTGAGAATAAAATGATTTGAAGTACATGATTTATGTAATTTTACCTTTTAAACAACAAAATTATATGAAAAAGTATAACCTATGAAGGATAGAGAAAGCAAAATGCAATACAATATAAACAGAATAAATGTTACCAAGCTGACAATAGTATCATAAAAAGGCAACTCAAGTTTTGAATACAAATCTTTGATTGAGTGCTATTTTACAAAGAGGAAAAAAATCTCTCAATTCTCCATTGGCATTTACACTTCAAGCATGAGATTATGTTAAATGTCCCTACACAGAATAGATTATCTTAAAATTATATTTATGAGTATTTTCAATCCAAGGAACATGTAATTGTATAAACATTTGAAAGTATATACAGAGAATTCAAGATGACTTTGGAGCTGGAAATATACTTTGACTTCTAAGTTTTTGAGAGCTTCTTTTTTATTATTTTGGGAAACAGAGATGAGGGAATGTTAGCAAGACTTTCTGTGATTGACTATATATTGCTGTTTTATCTGATGGTCCTTTGCTAAAGGATTTTTTCCATAAGAGTGGCTTATTCATGTGGAGACAAATGACTAAAGTATAAACACTCAGGAAGCAGAGGCAGGAGGAATAGAATTTCATGGTCATTCTTGGCTATGTTCCAGGAGGCATGTTTTAAGCAGAGAAACAAATAAACAAACTTTTAAAAAGGCTTATTCTGAATTAAGCATTTTGTCTCAGGAATACTGAAAGTCAGTAATCTTCCTATGCAAAGATAAATATGCAGAAGTACCATATTGTTGACTGTGTGGTTAGATATAAGACTACTACATGGAAGTAAATGCATGCATGACAGAGAAGAGAGAAGGCTCTTGCACTACACAAGGCTAAGGAAAGAATCACATATATTTGAGATAGAGAGATGTTCTTTTCTTTTTTTAATCTTTTTATTTGAATTAAAAACAATATTGTTTTACATGTCAATCCCAGTTCCCACTCCCTCCCCGCCTCCCCTACCACCACCCCCTCAACTAAAACCCTACCTATTACACATCCTTTCTGTTCTCCGGGGAGGGTGAGGCCTTCCATAGGGGGTCATCATAGTCTATCATATCTTTGGGATAGGGCCTAGGCCCACCCCCTGTGTCTTGGCTCAACGAGTATCCTTCTATGTAGATTGGGTCCCCCCAAAGTCCACACCTATGCTAGGGATAAGTACTGGACTACTACAGGAGATCCCATAGATTTCCGAAGTCTCCTCATGGAAACCCATGTTCCTGGGTTCTGGATCAGTCCCATGCTGGTATTACAGATATCAGTCTGGGGACCAAGAGCTCTCCGTTGCTCAGGTCAGTTGTTTCTATGGGTTTCACCAGCCTGGTATGGACCCATTGGTCATCATTCTTTCTTCTCTGCAACTGGATCCCAGTTCAGTTCAGTGATTAGCTGTTGGTGTCTGCTTCTATATAGACCAGCTGCTGGATGAGTGCTAAAGGATGGCATATAAGACAGTCATCAATCTCATTATCAGCGGAGGGCATTTAAGGTAACCTCTCCTCTGTGGCTTAATTGGTTAATTGGTGTCATCTTTGTAGATCTCCAGACCTTTCCCTAGGGCTTGGTTTCTCCGTAAACCTAAAATGTCTCCCTCTATTATGGTATCTCCTTTTTATTTTCTTCTGTTCCTCCCTGGACTCAGCCTTTCTGCTCCCTCATGTCCTCCTCAGCCCTCCACTTCTCCCTTTCTCCAGGGGACCATGTATATGTCTCTTAGGGTCCTCCTTGTTTACCAGCTTCTCTGGCACTGTGGATTGTAGGCTGATAATCCTTTGCTCTATGTCTAAAATCCACATATGAGTGAGTACATACCACATTTGTCTTTTTGTGATTGGGTTACCTCGCTCAGAATGGTTTCTTCAAGTTCCATCCATTTTCCTGCAAATTTCAAGAATCCATTTTTGTCTGCTGAGTAGTACTCCATTGTGTAAATGTACCACTTTTTCTGTATCCATTCTTCAGTTGAGGGGCATCTAGGTTGCTTCCAGTTACTGGCTATTACAAATAGTGCTGCTAGGAACATTGTTGAACAGATGTCGTTGTTGTATAAATGTTCTTCTTTTGGGTATATGCCTAAGAGTGGGATTACTGGATCTTGTGGTAGACTGATTCCCATTTTCCTGAGGAGTTGCCATAGTGATTTCTAAAGTGGCTGTACAAGTTGGCACTACCACCACCAGTGGAGGAGTGTTCCTCTTTCTCCACATCCTCTCCAGCATAAACTATCATTTGATTTTAGCCATTCTAACAGGAGTAAGATTGTATCTCAGAGATGTTTTGATTTGCATTTCCCTGATGTTTAAGGATGTTGAACACTTTCTTATGTGCCTTTCAGCCATTTTAGATTCCTCTATTGAGAATTGTTTATTTAGTTCTGTACCCTATTTTTTAATTGTATTGTTTGTTGTTTTGGAGACTTGCTTCTTGAATTCTTTGTCTATTTTGGATATCAGCCCTTTGTAAGATATGGAGTTGATGAATATATTTCCCAGTCTGTGGGCTGTCATTTTGTCTTACTGACTACGTCCTTAGCCTTACAGATGCTTCTCAGTTTCAAGAGGTGCCATTTATCAATTGTTGATCTCAGTGTCTGTGCTACTGGTGTAATATTCAGGAAGCAGTCTCCTGTTCCAATTAATTCAAGTGTACTTCACACATTGTCTTCTAATAGGTTCATTGTGTCTGGATTGATGTTGAGGTCTCTGATCCATTTGGACTTAAGTTTTGTGCATGGCAATAGACATGGATCTATTTGCAGTCTTCTACATTCCAGCATCCAGTTATGCCAGCACCATTTGTTGAAGATGCTTTCTTTATTACATGGTATAAATTTACCTTCTTTGTCAAAAATCAAGTGTTTGTAGGTGTGTGGGTTATCTCCCATGTTCTTGGATAGGTAGCATCAACATAGTAAAAGTGGAAATCTTGCCAAAAGCAATCTACAGAATCAGTGCAATCCCCATCAAAATCCCAACACAATTATTCACAGACCTTGTAAGAACAATTCTCAACTTTATATGGAAAAGCAAAAGACTCAGGATAGCCAAAACAACCCTGTACCATAAAGGAACTTCTGGAGGCATCACAATCCCTGACTTCAAGCTCTATTACAGAGCTATAGTCCTGAAAATAGCTTGGTATTGGCACAAAAATAGACAGGTAGACCAATGGAATAGACTTGAGATTTTCTATATCTTTATAAAGAAGTGATGCATTATAGGTTGACGACACCAATAGAAAGCCTCAACACAGAACTGTCCTCCACAAATCAGATATACTAAATGTAATTCTAGATCTTTGGACTCAACCTGTGTCAAACAGACAGTCTTTAGCATAAAGTCCTTTGTCATGGGAAATGACTGACAGTTTTCTATCACTTCTCAGTATGGTATTATCCAAAGATCATGTATTTTCAAGAATATATGTAGAATTAAATATAGAGTAGAATAAGGAAAATTATGAGCACCCACCTTTACTTACCAAGCCAGGGTTACCTGATTTGGTCAATGGGAATTAAATCCAGGCCAAGATAAGAGGGCCACAGCACAACTGAGACTGTGACAAGTTTATTGCACACAATCAGACATTTTACACCCTTATTGTAAGCCTAATACAATGGTTGTTGTCAGGATCAATAATATGGTAGTTGCAAATATATAATGATATGTGTGAGCTGTACAAGGTCCATAAGATTAATGTCTAAGACTAATTGTTCTGTCAAACTTCTATATAGTTCATTGACTTCTAGGGAACACAGAGATACACAAGTGCTATGAGTGCTTCATTGCCTGAAAGAGTGCCTCTTTTTACAGAAACAGAAAGGCACATGGTACCCAAGGAGCCATGATCTTGAAAAAAACCTATGATGCATGCCTCTCAAGGCAGCAAGACGAGAAAAATCTATGATTTCCCACATTAAGCAAAAGTAGTACATGATTGACTGAGGGCTTTGTCACTATAATTCCTTTTAATATTTCCAGATACATTTTCTCAATCTTTTTTTCTCCAATGAAATAAAAATTTAAAATTAATCTTTTAAACTCAGCATCCTACTGTAATAAATGAAGCAGAAAAACTAAAATCAGTTACATATCACATTTTCAAATAATAAAGATTTTAGATATATAGATGAGCAATATCTGCTTTAATAATATTTATCTACACTTATGGATCAGAATGGTATTTTCACATAAAAGAAAGCCAGCTCTCAAGTTCTAGGCTGGCATGAACTTATAAGCTTTCAACACCTATTTATTTTAGTTGTCATTAGACTTGCAACTGGCTAGCTCATTTCTTAAATGAAAAGACTCAATAGATGTCAGGGCTGAGGGCATTTAAAATGCATTCTAAATTGTAGACCTCATTTCATTGATGAAAGACGACCCTCCAAGTCAAAATGACACATAAATGAAAGTAGTTGTTTAGAAATAAAAAACTGATGAAAGAACAGTGATATTCTTCTCAATGATGAATACAACAGAATATATCTATTGATTTGTCACAAGCATTTTTTTCTAACTTGAATTAATTGTTCTATTTGGACAATAAATATAGATCATATAACAATATTTAAAAGGCACATTAACTTTTTTTCACCAATATTGAGTATGGTTGTTGCATTGTAAAGCAAGAGTTCCTTAATCCTGAAATGTTCATATTTGCTGTTTTTCTTTCAAAAGAGATAATTGTATTACTTTTTTCCATCCATTAATGTAACTTCTCTGAAGAACTTAAAGAATCCAGTTAGTGAGAAGATAGTCAACGTTAATTTTTCTTATCTTGATATTTGAATGGGAATGACTGGTATTTTTCCAGAAATCAATGTTAGCATTGTGAAGAGAACTGTTAATAGGCACATATTTAGGGTGAATCTTGGTCTCTTTTTCTTAGGTATACATTTAAAGGTCTTAGGGGATGCTTCCTTTCAGTTCTGAATTTTGAAAATTGTGCCTTCATTTAACAGAGATTACATGTATCTTTGCCATGACATTTGGCACTATGCTCATCTTGGTAGTTATGATTAGAAAAATATTAAAATATTAAAAACTACTCCTTAGGGCCTATTGGAAAAATGAAGAACCCTATTAGAATATTTACCAGAATAATTTTAAATGGTTTATTTGTTTTTATTTTATATGCATTGGTATTTTGTTGGTATGTGTGTCTGCATAAGAGTGTTGGGTACGCTGGAGGTAGAGTTATAGGCAATTGTGAGCTGTCGTATGGGTGCTGAGAATTAAACCCAGGTCCTCTGGAATACCAAGCAAAGCCGTCTCTCCAGCCCCGTCAGAATATTTTTCTGCAAGCATTTTCAATACAACACTCCATTATCTATGTTCTACCTCCTATCATCACTATATCTGTGATTATCAAGCCTCCTACATGGGGAACATTAATTCAGAATAATATGAGCAAAGTTGCAGAAATTTGCATACAATTGCCCTCATAGAAATATCAGCTTGGATAATCTCAACACATGTATAATCATAACTTCACAACAACTAAGGTATTTAAGAGCAATGATGCCCGGGTGAAGTTTGGGTTGAACAAAAGAATAATAAATGTCCATGAAAAGGATGGCAAGGTCAGTCTAATGTTATCTCCCTCAAACAAGAACATAAGCACTGGGCTTCCCTTTGAATACAAATATTTGCCCATACTCATGGGCAATTACTAAGAATGACATTTCCAGGTCTAGACTCTAGGCCCACTTGAGTTCCAGATCCACCTCGAAAGCCCTAGGAACCTGACTCTACTAAAAAAAGACTATATGTGGGTGTCTAGCAGGTTGGCTAGTTTCATTATGGAATATGAAGCTCTGCAGTTGGAATTCTCAGGACCAAGATAGCCAATACATCCCAAATGTAAGTTTTATTCATTAACTTAAGTTTGGATTATGATTTCTATAATATTTATTTTTGGTTTATTTTGATGTATATGGTCTATTCTTTCAACTCAAAATTTACTCTCTTCCTGAAAGTCACATCTAAATTTTCTAAAGACATTCATTCATAGATAATATGAGTAACAGTTTGTGTCATTTAAATGCAATGAAATATTTTAACAACAATCAAATTTGTAATAAAACAAAATATTTCCATTGTGTTGATATTTACAGCCTATTTATTATGTCATGTCATTCATATGACCTTAAAAAGAGAAAAAGGTTTTTAATCACAAACCAAAAGGAAAGTTATCACTAACTCTCTTGATTTATGGGGGAAAACATGTTTGATTTGAAAAGTCGAATGACTTTATGAGGTCAATCAGTTATGTAACATTATACTTATTAATGACTTATTATTGAATATACAGATAGATTTTTGCAATTAAACAGATTTCAATAATTGCAATGATACATGGATCAACACTGATGCATGTCTTGCTTCTTTCCTGAAATGAAAAGGCCACGGGTTTTATTTAATATTATGTCCCTGCCTAAAAATCTTGGACCTCTTTATATCTGTGAATTTTAAGAAAATAAACTCAACATCCTAAATAGCCGTCTGATATTGGCTCTGAGTTTCTAATATGCAAGTCCCTTGTTTTTCAGTTCCAATTTTGAAGGAAGGCTCAGTGTCTTAGTGTTCTACTGTTATGAAGGGATACTATGACCATGACAACTTTTATAAAGGAAAACAATTAATTGGGACTTGCTTAGAGGTTCAGCTCAAGTTTATTGTCAGCATAGTGGGAAGCATGGCAGCGTTTGGGCAAACAGAATCATAACAGAGTTCAAATCCAGATCTGCAGGCAGAAGGAAGAGAGTGACATTAGAATTGTTTTGGGCTTTTTAAAACCCAATGACAAACTTCCTCTAACAATGTTACTCCTTCTCCAACAAAGCCATACTTCCTAATCCTACTCAAGTTGTGCCACTCCCTGAAGATCATGCACTCAAATATATGAGCCTATGGGGGCCATTTTTATCCAAACCACCACACGCAGTATTCTCTCTCTCTCTCTCTCTCTCTCTCTCTCTCTCTCTCTCTCTCTCTCTCTCTTCTTCTTCTTCTTCTTCTTCTTCTTCTTCTTCTTCTTCTTCGTCAGGCAAAAGTTGCTCTGGACTTTGTGACATGGCATAGAACAGGAAAATATAGAATGTTGTCTTATACAGCACCTATTCAAATGTGTTTAGGAAGTCAATATATTTATGAAAAGAATATGTGGTCAAAAGGTGTAATTTTTCTAGCTTTCCATAATGTTTGTTAAATTACTTTAAGATTGCCCACTAATGCACAGTCAATTTATTCTGATTGAATATATTCACAGACCCATTTAGATGTAAAAGTTGTTGGAGGATTAAGTTTAATCTTCTATTATTAAATCCTACCGTTAATTGCTTTGTGCTCTGAAATTGCAGTCTATGCAAAATGTTATTTATATTTTGTAAATTACATCTTCTCTTACATTCCATACATCTTTAAACTTAGACATGTAAGTATAATTCTATATACAACTTTGCTAGAACTTTACCATCATTGAACTAAAAGTCTTATATCTGGAACTATTTTTGTATATTCATTCATGTAGTTATAATATATATTTTGTAGATTTAATTAAATCTGAAAGGATATGTACTCTTATATTCCTATCTAGTTTACTGATTTTAAATAATAGTTAGGACTTTGCTAGATGGGTTTCATCAAGTGTAACTTATTGGTTGTTAATGTATTTAAAATGTGAGAGGAAAAGACTGTGTGTATCATTGGAGTTCTACAAAAGAGATGTGGTCAAACATTCATTTGTAGAGTCACAATTACCTCTTCAATGCTCTTCAACAATTCTTAACATTCAGATCTATGCAGCTGGTAGAGATGACATGTTTAGGGTCAGACTGTTGTGATTCTTTTTTAGTAACTACCTGACAACTCTTAGGTGTTTGATGCTAGAATACTCAATTAGGTTTTCAGTAAATAGTATTTTCTTTTTAATTAATTTTTCTTTCACTATGGAACTTGGTAAGAACTAATTAGGAAATTTTCTTGCAAGGCTTAAGCTATTTTATTTTATGTCACACTGCCTTCCATGTTCAAAAAAGTTTTACTTTTCTTTCTTGGTAAAAGCTTAATATTGTCTTGAAGTGTTTTTTTTTCCTCCTAGATGTCTGCTGTGTTAAGTCTTTTTCAGTACCTTTACCCTTATACCCATTGCTCTATATTTTAAAGGCTTCTGGATTGATTTTCTATTACTCTGATATGCCACTCCAGCATTTCTGACTTAGTCTTTCAGGCTGATTGTACCTCTGTATTTTACAGCCCTGCTTACTTTTCTCACTATCCTCGCTTTGCTAGAGTTTTCTTTTTCCTTTTTTTTGGCATACATTTTTTTGGTTTATGAGACTATGCTAACTTCTAAATAGATTGTTAATCTATTGTGTTTGTTTTTGTTTTTATTAACAGTTCCTTGTGTCAGAAAAACAGCTCCTCTCTGGCACCATGTCTACCTGCATGAAGATAATGAACTAAACCTTTGAAATTGCAAGCCAGCCCGAATTAAATGTTTTCTTTATAATAGTTGCAATAGTCATGGTGTCTATTCACAGGAATAGAAATCCTAACTATCACAGTCTTCAACTACTTAAAGCCTTGTAAGTTTAAAAATGAAGTCTGCCTTTATTTTCAGCAAACATTTGAAATATATCTTAGCATGTTTAGTGTCCTGGTTTATTTCTACTTACTTATCTTTCTAAATAAAGGGGAAGCCTGGATCACAGTCAGATATCTTAACATTTGATTGCAACCAGTTATTTCTAGGCACTTCTTCCACTAGATGGGGGAGGGTCATGGGCAGATACTTTCACTCTGTGCCCAGGTTTTATTCACCAAAGACAAAAAAAGGGGAAGTGCAGCTAATGGCTTTTGTTTCCTCACCCAGGACAAATCTGCTCATGTCACATGACAGTCCATCAATTTATACCACTAAATTTATCCTCAGTGAATTTAAAGCTTCTTTTAAGATCTTATTCTAGGCAGGTGGTGGGCTTGGCCATCTTTTGTTTGGGGTAAAATGGAAGATCTCACCTCAATTTTGCCTTTATGGGTAATTTGGTGAGAATTTAAGAGAAATTCCATCAGGCTGTCTGCCACAAACCAATTTAAACTGAGCTATAAATATTGTGTGGTTGTTTTTTATCATAAATTCGATATAAACAAAAGTTTCCATTAAAATATTGAGCAAAATAAGTCTATAGTTCATATAAAAACCAGTAAATTCCCCTCACAAATCATGGAAGTGTATTACAGCAACTCTGTGTATTACTTGATTAGATATCCATTTTACTGAAATGGGCTTTTCAGGGTAATGAATAAGCATATCATCATTGTTTCATCTTCCCTATAATCTTTTATGAGAATGAATAGAGGCTTGACAGAAGTATGCCATGGTTGAAGGAATAAATTGACTTTTCCTTGCAATATTGTTACTAATTAATTCTACATGGAATCCTATTTTGCTTTGCTCTTTTAGAAGAATGGAATAATAGTGCATAGCACAGACTACTATATTTGGCTTTTGTTTGAAATTCCCTCATAAGTTATATTGTAATTTATTTGGTTAATAATATTTGGAATCACTGTTTTTAGAAAAGTCAAAAGAGAGTTAATTTTTTTTTATTATTTTGTTAGTTCTAGTTAGGGAACAAGCTTATTTCAAGTCCCTTTACAGGGACAGAGTGTAGCCCTTCATATGGGATGGGCTCTCAAAGTCCCTTCTTGCACCAGGGAAAAATACTAATCCACCACCAGAGGCTCCCTGGAGTGCAGAGGCCTCCT